ACTCCCATGGACTGCAGCACATCAGGCTTCCCTGTCCTTCACTGATCTCCTGAAGTTTGCTCCAACTCATGTCCACTGATTCAGGGATGCCATTCAACCATCTCATCCTTTGTCTCACCCTTCTCCTCTTGCCTCCAATCTTTCTTAGTATAGTGTCTTTTCCAGTGAGTTAGCTTCTCTTATAAGATGGCCACAATATTGGAGCTTCAGCTTCAGCATTAGTCCTTCCAATGAATACTCAGGACTGATCTCCTTCAGGATGGACTGATTTGATCTCCTTGCAGTCCAAGGGACCCTCAATTGTCTTCTTCAGTACCACAGTTCCAAAGAATCAATTTTTGGTGCCCAGCCTTCTTTATGGTCCAGTTCTCACATCTATACCTGACTACTGGAAAAACCATAGCTCTGACTAGATGGACTTTTGCTGGCAAAGTGATGTCTCTGTTTCTAACATGTTGTCTAGGTTTGTCACAGCTTTCCTTCGAAGGAGCAAGCATCTTTTAACTTCATGGCTGCAGTCACCATCCACAATGATTTTGGAGCCCAAGGAAATAAAGTCTGTCACTGTTTCCATTGTTTCCCCATCCATCTGCCATGAAGTGATGGGACCGGATGCCATGATCTTTGTTTTTTGAATGTCGAGTTTTAAGCCAGCTTTTTCACTCTCCTCTTTCACTTTCATCAAGAGGCTCTTTCGTTCTTCTTCACTTTCTGCCATAAGGGTGTCATCTGCATATCTGAGGTTACTGATATTTCTCCCAGTAATNCTCCCAATGCAGGGGGCCTGGGTTCAATTACTAGTCAGGGAACTAGATCTCACATGCCATAGTGAAGATTTCAGATTCAGTGTAGCCAAATAAATAAATACATAATAAAAATTTTAACCCTTTAAAATGTTTCAGGGGGGCATGTGGAGGAAGCAGACTATGGCTGCATATTCCCTTTTGAGAAGTGGGACTGAAGATGCACAATTATTTGGGAAAAAGGAGCCTCAGAACACAGCTGAAAAAGGTCTGACATCAGATTACCACGGGCAGGTCTGCTTCAGACGCTGTGCATATCTCAGAACAAAAGTGAAGAGTGACATGTCCACCAGCTGTAATAAAACACTTAAGACATAGTCGGTCCCAGAACATTTCCTGACATGTGACAAAGAGGATAACATACCTAACACACAGGTCTGTCCAAGGCATTTAATTAACAAAACTGTATCCCCCCCGTGTAAACAGCAAAAGGAAAAGGAAATATTCCAAACCACACTTGACTGTAGAGTTACTGTAACAACACATGGAAGCATATTAAATATCTGGGGAAAACAGTGCATGTAATTTCAAACCACAGAATGAAGAATAAAAGATTCAAATAAAAGTCTCTCTTCTTCTCAGAGTCACAGGTAACAACACAGGTGAAACAACATACCCCAGCCCAAGCGGGTGACTCCCACAACAGGCTTTACCGAAGAACAGTAACACAACAGGGTCAGACTGACCATTTTTCTCACTTTCAGAATTCAACTATTCGTTCCACCTCCTGGGTTACAAGATACACACTGCAGTTCACCAGCCTAAGCCTCGAACAAAAGCCCAAACTCCAACTTCCTACTGCACTCACTAAAGAGGATTATTTTCATGGCACTGTACACATCTAATGCCTGTGATCAAATCACCTAACTCTTAACACAATCCAGCAGAAAACTGCTACTATTCAGGCACACTTAGGAGGAAAAACTGCAACATTTTTGGCACTGGCACAGACCTAAGAAAAAATGTCCTTTTTATTCCTGCTAAATTGACAAATCCAAATCTAAACTCTCAACTACATAACTTAAAACTGAGCGCCTCATTTGAAGAAGAGCCACCGGCCTTGGACTGAGAGATAAGAAAGAGCAAAAGGAGTAGTGAGAGGGCCCACAAAAATCACCAATCAGGATGATGGCGTGGAGGCTGGGCAACATGGCTCAGTCCCACACCCTGCCGCAGACCCAAGGCCACACGACCACAGAGAGTGGGCAGTTTGTGGCCCAGAGCACATGCAGGTGATCCCGCCTCTTAAAGCAGCTCGTCCATGTCTAAGATGACAGTGGAGACCAGGTCCCCAGAACCTCTGGGCTAGATTGAGACAGCGCCCCACCAAAACCACCCTAGCACAGGACTGACTACACCAGACTCAGCACATCAACCTGATGTTCTGGGTCAGCTTCAAAATAGTCCACTGTCTTAGTCTGCCTGAACAAAGCACCACAGACCTGGTGGCTTCAACAACAGATATTTCTCCCAGTTCTGGAGGCTGCGCGCCCGAGACCAAGGTGTCAGCAGGGCTGGTTTCTCCTGCGGCCTCTTTCTCAGCTTGGAAATGCTCATCTTCTCCCTGATCCTCAGGTCGTCTTTCTACTGAATGCACATCCCTGGTGTCTCTGTGTGCAAACTGCTGCTTCTTACAAAGATATCCTAAGCCCTTATATGGGATTAGGGTCCATCCTAGTGACCTCATTTATCTTTAATTACCTCTTTAAAAGCCCTTCTCTAAATGCATACCCATTCTGAGGTACTGGGGGTCAGGGCTTCACCACATGAATTGGGGCGGGGGGTGGTACACTTCAGCTCCTAACAGCTGGGGGACAGGGGTGGATGAGAAAAAAGTGTACCTGAAACAAGCTGCCCATGCACTGATGATACTTGACATTGAGGGACGGGGGCTCTGTTAGAAGACTTTCTCTATACTTGTACTTGATGTCTTCATAACAAAAATGTTTCCTTATTTACTCTTATCAAATCACACTCGCTAAAATCCATCCTCAGTCTGTCCACTGAGCTTCCCTTCAAGCTCTGTGGCCACAGAGCTCATGTGTCTCATAAGCATCTGCACCCAGCGCAGTCAATGGCAATGAACAGTTCTTAAAGGAATGAATGAAAACTCCCAATGGCTTCAGCTGCACAAAGGACCAAAACCAAACTCCACCCTCCCATGCCCCGGGCCCCAAGCCCTCCCAGCACCTCTCCTGCTTCTGCATATCACATCCATGGTCCCCCAGGGGAATTAGCAGATGCCTGTGTCTCTCCTGATATAATGGCACTGGCCCTCTCTCATTCTCTAACGTGGTGTGAAAAGCTTACTCTGCAAATAAAATGCAATGTCTTCAGCTCTTCTCACTGCACTAAGCATGAAACAGGCACTCAAATATATAAACAGGATGATTTCACACAGATCAGCTAAATCTATAGTACTTAACTGAGTCACACCACGGTGGTGATGAAGATGGGGCAGCTGGGTTATTACTGCTGACAGAAATGAAGAAATAAAAGACCACGGTAACTGCAATGACCAGACCTATAGGGGACAGAAGGCACTTGTCCTTGACCACACAGGGCAGAATACTGACATCCCTTCTCATTCCAAAGCGGTTCCTTTGTAGACTTGTCACAGAAATGTCTTCCTTTACTATCTTCTCAAATGATGATCAGAGCAGAAACAGAAAAGTACTACCAAGATTCTGATGAGCTTTCTGAGTCTAAACTATCACGGTCAGTGGATTATCAACCTGACTGAAGAAGAACAGGGAATCTAAGTTCCTAATGCAAAAAAAATAATAAATACATGATACTATATAAATGGTAATTACCCAAACCGGAAAAGGAATGAGACCCATGTTTGCCAGTTATTCTGGACTCATCTACTGATGGCCTGACATCTGGTCCCCACCAGATACCTCAGGCAATGGTCTTCTGGCCTCCTCAGCCCAGGGCGCCAAAATGCCACCCAAGAATCCCTGTGGCAACTATTTGAGAGAAAACAAAACAAGGTATAGAGGCCCAAAGTCACTCTGTTAACCCATAGTATCACTGGGACACCTATAGAATCAATTTAGTTATAAAAGCAATTTACTAGGCCATGACCAGCAGTTCAAAAAAAAGCCAGAGTGCACTGCTTATGGTTAGAATTGTTTCTTTAAACTTTCATTTCAGTCATACAAACACTTACACATACCCACACATACCTGTGGAGAACATATGGCTGCCTGAGGGCTAGTCTAGTGCAAGCTCAGAGTTCCTCATAGACATTAGCTAGGGGATGACTTGGCCAAGTACATGAGCTGATAACTAGGGACCCACAACAGAAAGGAATTTTTCTCCCCACTTCTTATACAGAAACTTCAAAAATTCACAAAAGTAGGCAGAATAACAAATAATGAATACCCACTGCTAAAGCATTCTGCTATCTCCCCTCTTTTCTCTCTAGTCTGAGTAAAGCAAATCTCAAAAGTCATCTTATTTCACCTATAAGTATCTCAGTGTATGCGTCTACCAGTTCAGAACTTGATAAAATACAAACATAACACCCGACAAAATTAATAGTAAACCTTCATTATCATTTACACCAAGTCCTATACTTCGAGGATACTTTATAATTTTTTTTTAAAGAATACAAATAAAATGGATAAATAAAGATTTAACGTCATTCAGGCTGAAATCATGTGACCTCAAACCCAACAGCAGCAGCAGCAGCAGAAACCAGGACCTGAACATGGCTGAGGACCAACAGCGACTTTCCACAACTATGTCTTCCCAAGGGCTGTGATCCTCATCTGAGTTAAGTGTTTTTATAAAAAGGCCCACAATACAACTCAAATGTACACCTAAGTTTCCTACAAAAAAGAATTACATCTTGACAGAATAGTATCAAAATTCATGGATCTTGGGTCTGTTCCATAAGGAGGCAGCCTTATTCTCCAAACCCTCAAGCAGGACTTGTGGTCTGAAAGGTACCAGTCACTCTGGGGTCATTTAGGCATGAGAGGGACCTCCGAGGTCACTCCTACTCCCAGGTCCCAGGCCTCTGGCAGCTGGTGGACCTCTCTATCCACATGCTTATCACTCAGGCCTCCCCAACTCCCCACCAGCTCCTCCCACATCCCATCACCCAGCGCCTTCTACCGGGCATTACTGGCTCAAGTCATCCTCATCATATGTGCCAGGGTAGCCTGAGAAAGGACAGGGCTGTACCTGCACACTTTATATGAAATCCACTCTGGTCTACTGGTTCTCTGGCAGCTCAGTGAGTCCTGTCCTGAGGAAATAGGCCACGTTAGAACAAGCCTGAATAACTGCTCGACAGAACACCCAGACAAGCATCTGAAGACCTGAAAAGCCTACAATGCACATTTTTTAAGGTTTAAATCTGCACTTTTTGAGGAAGCTAACGTGGAAAGAGAATTTAAATGTCCAAATGCCACTTTCATAAAACTATTAAGTCTTTATTTGCTGCTTTAGCTTGAATTTGTGTTGAAGCTTTAAAATAGAGAGCTCTGGTTAACTTAGGGTAATGAGAATAACTTAAGCATCAAACTGAGTTGTATGTGACCTCACACTGAATGGGGGAGAGAGCAGGAAGGTTCTGCTGGTTTGCAGTTGGCTGAGAGCAAGAGATAAAGTGTGCTAAGTCGTGGCCTGGATAGGAATCTATGCCTCAGAGCCTTCTGCCTAGTCTGCCTGTGGGAAAATGGGCTAGGGCAGTGGCAAAATACAGAGAAAACACAAAACTCCTGGCTTAGGCAACTACGTAATAAGAGACTATCTCCTTTAATAAACAATGTAATGTATTAATCTTCTCTAGGCTTAAATCTTTCCATTGCCCCCAATAATAAAATTCTTGAGTTTCACTGGTTTTTTACTTCTATTCCTAAAGCTCAGGAGTGTCTTACCACTTCTGTCTTTCTCAATATGCAAATATTCAAATATTTCTTCCAGAGCTGGTAGAAAGTTCTAGAAAAAATTCAGGCATTCTCATCCTTCCCTGTCACAGACAGGCTAGTACCCACTTGAAAGGAATAATTCTCCTTAGCAGACACCGTTTGGACTGACTGTGGAAGATACCATGTGGCTAGGATTAGTCCTCTTCTAGAACTGAGCCAGCTAATCTACAGAATGCTGGCAGCCAAGAGTGCTGGTGACAGCCCTCCTCCTATAGGGCCCTGGCCCACCTGCCTATCTGTGACAGGGAAGGATGCAACTGACTGCATTTCTTATGGAGCCTTCTACCAGCTTTGGTAGAAACATTAAATTCAGACTTCTCCCTTTTTGGTGGGCAGCATCCCTCTGTGGTCGATTGCTTACAGAATCACTTTCTTGAGTTGTTTTCCAGACTTAAGCCAACTTTGCAGGTAACTGCAACTGATACCGCACTTCAATTTAGACAGGTGTGCTAAGAACGTAACAAAACAATGAGTAAATAAAGTGAGAGAAGCAGAACACAATCTCCTGAAGACCATCTGGCTGCACTTCATTTGAAATACCTTTTGAAATGGGGCCCCTTGTGATGAGTAATTCTCAACTGAAGGACACAGCTGGCTCTGAAGAGCAGAAAAACAAAAGATTTATAAAGGTCTGTTTTAAACTTGTGCATAAAAGTGCACATACGTGAAAATGAAAATAACAAGTAAGACACTTGGGATTATAAAGCCTGTACTTAAGAAAGATACGTTTCATTGAAATCCACTTTTCATTTCAATGATAGCTTATCCCATGTGGTTATTTGTCTCCTTGAAATGTTGAGTTTCTTTATCAATTACTCGAGCCTGCAATTAAAGACAGTTTAAAAAGTACACAGACTAAGGAGCCTCTTGAACTGTGTCCTAAATCCAACTGCCACATGTAACTGAAATCGCTCAGCTGGTACTAGATAGAGCAAAACTCAGCCCGCACCGGCAGAAGCGTGAACGGGCTGTATCATGAAGCAGTTTTTGTTTTTACTTGATACTCCAATAATGAAGTCAACTAAGCAACAAATGTTTCTACGTTAACCTTACACCCCATTTTCTCAAAGACACTAACCCTAGAAAACTTTCTGGCCCATAACCGGGGCCAGCTGCTCTGCAGCCCCTGGTCACTCACCCACCGGGAAGGCCATGTGGAGAGCCTAGGTTTGGGGGAGAGTCACTGACCGGAAGGGGCGGAAAGGCGTGGCTCCTTCCTCCCCCGCGCGCCCTGCAGGCAAAAGACCACCTAAACCTATTGTCCAGGGGCTCGTCTCCTACTCCAGCGCGCGGAGACTGACTCCCGCGACCCTGTCCTGGGCCCGACAGTGCGCCGTTCACCTGGGGGCCCCGGCGTGCCCACCACGCTCACTTTCAACAGAGTGAGCCTCCGGGCCTCCCAACGCCGGACTTCCAACCTGGGGCCTCCCCACGCCGGACTCCCACCTCGGACTTCCCCGTGCCGGGCCTTCCCACGGCGGACTCCCGTCCTAGACCTCCCCACACCGAACCTCCTAAATCAGAACTCCCCTCCACGGACCTCCCAAGCCAGACTTTCCCACGCCCCGTATCGGCCGACCGACGGGCAGCCCCGAGGGACCCTCCCATGTCCCCCGAGCCCTTCCCCGCCCAGCCCCAGCCCCTCAGCCTTCCGCCTGCCTAGGTCTGGGGTCCAGCACGCCCCCGGCTCAGCCTTCGGGCGGACGCGCTCTGCAGGCTCACCTTCTTGCCCTTCTTGCCCTCTTCCTCCATGTCTCCGCGAGCGGCCCCCGCGGCCTGGCCCGCCCCGGGAGCGCCGCGCCGCCCGCTGCCGCTACATGCTCGCCCTGGCCCCGCGGCCACCGCCGGTCCTGCGCCGCTCGCCCGGCCGCAGTCTCAGCCCGTGGCCGCCAGGGGCCGTCCGCGCCCTGCACCCCACACCCCGCACTTCCGGGCCGAGGGCGCGGCCCCGCCCCCGCGAATACGCCCCGCCCCGTGCGCGCACGCCCCTTCGGCCCACACGCCCCGCCTCCAACCCTTCAGAGCGGCCGAGAACGAGCCTGCCCTCCCCGCCCCTTCAGGACGCGGGAGCGCGTCTGTCGCGCCCCTACCCACTACCCCCCACGCCCGTCAGGGAGGGCCGGAGCGCGCCTGCCCCGCCTTCAGCCCGTCCTCCTGCCCCTCAGAGCTACAGGAGTGCCTCCAGCTTTTCAAGTCTGCCGCCATCTTTACGGCAGCCAACTTCCCAGCCTGCCTCGCGCTCAGGGAGAGGGAGCTCGGGCCGACCGGAAACGGAGGGCGGGGCCGGCGGGACGGGTGGGACCTGTGGGGAAGGTAAAGGGCAGGAAGAAGGTAGGGCGTGGGGCCATGGGAGGGGGCCTGTGGGAGGGGAAGGCGGAGCTGACGAAGGGGCGGGACCGGCTGAGAGGGCGGCGGGGATAGAAGGGCGGGGCTTGCGGAAAGGGGAAGGCGGGAAGCCAAAAGCCGGGCCTGCTGGAGGAGCCCGGCCTGGGCAAGGGGCGCAGGACCACTCCCTTTTCTTTTCTCCCTTTACTTTCCATTCCTGCAGGCACTAGGAAGACTGCCTGTGTTCCAGACTTCCTATACAAACCCGTCAGGAAAGTTTCAATGCAACAGAACACGTCCGGACCTTACAGAAAAAAACTTCGAACTTTAACCAGTCACCTAGTTCAGTTCAGTTAAGTCCAGTCGCTCAGTCGTGTCCGACTCTTTGCGACCCCATGAATCGCAGCACGCCAGGCCTCCCTGTCCATTACCAACTCCCGGAGTTTACTCAAACTCATGCCCATCGAGTCGGTGATGCCATCCAGCCATCTCATCCTCCGTCGTCCCCTTCTCCTGCCCCCAATCCCTCCCAGCATCAGGGTCTTTTCCAATGAGTCAACTCTTCGCATGAGGTGGCCAAAGTATTGGAGTTTCAGCTTCAGCATCAGTCCTTCCAGTGAACACCCAGGACTTATCTCCTTCAGGATGGACTGGTTGGATCTCCTTGCAGCCCAAGGGACTCTCAAGAGTATTCTGCAACACCACAGTTCTTCGAACTTTAACCAGTCACGTAGAAGTAACAGCAGTCTTTTACAATGAGATCCGGACGGATTGGTTTGCCCAAAAGTACACTGCAAAGTGGAGTTAGCTGCAGCAGGCCCACTTTTTTGCCACGACTAAGCTGCCAGTAAGAACCTTGCAGCACAGGTAGCATGTAAACTCACACGAAACAAACCACTAATTGCCTCAACTGATCTTTTTTAAGAGCATTGCCTCCTGTGGCAGAGGTCAGTAGATTATCTCTCAGCTTCACATTCACTCTCAATTCTCATCGCAGGATGGAGCTGGGCCTTTTGAGCATTAGTCCTTTGCCAAGTAACCCAAGTGTGAAGCTTTGCCAGGAGAAACTGCTTGGAGGCAGTGTGGGAGGGAAGGGGCTTTGTTACCTAGAGTCAGTGAGTTTTCTTGGCAGGCACATGCTTAAAGAGGCCTCTGAAGCGCGCACCTTCCTTCATTAGGGGTAGTTTCTCCAACTCTGGGTTCTCCCAAGCACTTGACTCTGCAGTGGGGGACTGCCAACAACACCCAGCAGCCGGCAGATTCCTTCAGCACTCATCTTGAGAAGTTTTATATCCGGAGTGGTCAGCAAGACCCCCTCCAAGAACAGTTTTACCTGCACTCTAGAGCAGGGGTCCCCAATCCTCTGGGAGGCCTGTTAGCAACGAAGCCACCACACATCAGGGGGTGAGCAGCGAGCCAGAAAGCCAAGCTTCATCTGCCTTCCCCATGGCTCCCCATTGCTCACAGTACTGCCTGAACCATCCCCGCTACCATGCCTGTGGAAAAATTGCCTTCCATGAAGTTGGTCCTTGGTGCTGTGCCAAAAAGGTTGGGGGCCACTGCAGTAGAGGGTAGACTTCAGCAAGCTTTGCCAGCACCTCTCTGCCATTCGGTGAGCTGTAGCTATCCTATCTCTGACAAAGTCTGGACCTCAACTCCAGGGGAAGGAAGAGCCTGTGTTCCCTGCAGTAGCCTTCAGTACAGTAGTTGCTCCTTATATCTACTATTCTTGTATTCAGAGTTCTTTTCACTTTTAATACCAATTCCCTTGTTACCCTAATTTTCTGTTATACTTAATAATTCTTTATAGTAAATGTTTCCTACAGTTTCTATATCCTGATTGAACCCTATTTGATAAAGATACCAAAGAAATGAGTGGTCTCTAGTACTCCCTAAAGGCATTAGGTATTCCAGTCCCTTTGGCACATAAAGCCGAAGTGTGGGAAATGACTTTTCAATCTCCCTCCTGCAATAATTTAGCCTCCCACATTCACAGACACAAATAATGCAATGCATTCAGTGGTTATTCCCCCACCATTCACTGAAAAGAGGCCTGATATTTTAGATCTTCCACTAATATACCTTTGCATACTTATCCTGCTATAATGCTGTCAATAACCCTACTAAAACTTCCCTTAACCTAATGTTAGGAAAATCTCACTCAATTCCTGTATTTCTCCCTTGTTTTCACACTACCATACTCACACTGCTGACACCAGATGTGTGGGCTTTTTTCCCCACACCAATTTTTTGACACCAGCTATCTGTCCTATATTTAAATCAATTCTGATATTGAGAGAGAAACCTGTAGAGACCATTGGATCTCACTGGTAAAGGGCTCAGTTCCACAAGACTGCCCTGCATCCCACTTCAGATGACAATTAAAAGTCCATATTGTTACTTGCACTTTTGACCAACCAGCTATAAACTGGAGGTTCCCAGGATCCCCTCCTTGAATGCAAATAATGTTAGAATGGCTCACAAAACTCAGGAAAACAGATTCCTTATTGTTTTTTCAGGGTTGTTAGTTTGGCTGTGCCAGGTCTTAGTTGCAGTATGTGGGATCTAGTTCTCTGAGCAGGGATCAAACCCAGGCCTCCTGCAGTGGAAGCATGGAGTCAACCACTGGACCATCAGTGAAGTCTCTAGGTGGTTGTTACTCTATATTCTTTCAGAGCCAAATCACTAACTTTATTTCCAGGCATACATCCCAATTGATTTGGAAGAATAAAGAAGTTACTATTTGGAAATGTGGTTTTATTTTTACTTGTTTTTGGATGTGTTGGGTCTTAGTTGCTGTGTGCCAGCATTCGCTAGTTGCCGTAAGTGTGGCCTACTCTCCAGCTGCAGCAATTGGGCTTCTCACTGTGGTGGCTTCTCTTGTTGGGGAACACAGGCTCTAAGGCACAAGGGCTTCAGTAGTTGTGGCTCATGGGCCCTCGTGTGTGTGCTCAGTAGCTGTGCAGCTTAGGTTTAGTTGCCCCACTGCATGTGGAATCTTCCAGGACCGGGGATCAAATTTCTGTCTCCTGAATTGGCAAGCAGATTCTTAACCACTGGACCATTGGGAAAGTCTGGAGATGTGGTTTTAGAAAAAGTTCTTTTCAATATTTGAAGTAGTTAAGATACTGCTGTTAAAGGATATACAATGGAAAAAAGACAACCTCTTTAACAAGTGGTGCTGGGAAAACTGGTCAACCACCTGTAAAAGAATGAAACTAGAACACTTTCTAACACCATACACAA